TTTATTTTTAAATCTTAATATTATAGTATATATAATTCTAAAAGTATAGTTTAAAATAACAGTTATTAGATTTAATAATATTAATAAGTTTTTTAATTTATTTTATAAAATATGATGTATCAGAAGTAATGATACAACTTATAAATTATAATTAAATCTATTTTGAATATCTTGTGTATTTTTTTGCAAACTGTTTTCAATACCCTTATGTAGTTATAACTAAATTAAAAATGAATATTACTATATATAAAATAAACTTAAAAATTTCAAAATATTAATATAAAATTTTAAAGTAATCTTAAATTAATTGCCAATGAATCTAAACATTCTAATAAAATAAATACATATTTTTAGTATCTTATTTATTTCTATCTAAAAAGTTTACCATAAGGGATTTTTTAAGATGATAAAAACTAAACATCTTGAACTATATACTTAAAACTTATTTAGTTTTAATAATTATTAAAAAAAAATTTTTTTGAACATATGACTTTTGAGAAGTAAAAGGTATATAAAAGCTAATTAAATTTAAGAATCTACTTGTAGATCATTCTAGAATATAATTTTCTAATTTGGTAAATTTTGTGATTGTATTACTGTAAAGACTAAACCTAGAAAATGAATACCAATATGAAGGAATCAGGCAGGCAAGAATCTTGTATAAAGAATATTACCAACCAGACTACTAGATTTTAAACTAAAAAAAAGAATATTAAGCTGAACTTGATATACCAAGAACAGGTTACAATTCTTTTAAGTTATTTTAATTAGAAGTCTGAAAATCAAAACAGAAGTATACTAAAAATATTAAAGATATATTGTAAAGTCAGTGCTAGGATCTGGATGAACTTTGCAAAAGTAACCTTTGTTAATAGTCTATAAAGTAAGTAAGTAGTTAACAAGAAGGCTCTTGTGTCTTGCTAGCAGATATCATATTCTGAAATATGTAGCAAACTAAAAACTAGTACAAAAAAAATAGGTACTATACTGCTTAAACAATATACTGGTTAGATATATACAGAAGATTAGTTGGTATTATATTATAATAAGGCAGATAATCAGAGAGTTTAAATAAATAATCTTCTAGTAAGTTATAAGTATGACATCTAATATAGAACTCTAGAGTGAACTATTTAAATAAGCAACCAAAAGTTGCATATGTGACTAGTTGTATTCTTATCTCTATATAAAATAATTATAATAACTAATTCTAATAAAAGTCAATAAAGTTTTACCACAAAGTATAGTCTTTAATACAAAAAAAAAAAACAATATTGATTTCAATAAATGTAAATTAAATTGCCTACTTTTTGATAAAAATTTTTTAGAAAAAAAGTAAAAAGAATTTGATGATAATTGCTTAGAGAATTATCAAATTAAAAAATGTGTTTTAAGAGTTTATTTTGAGTTTTAGTCTCTGTTATTTCTAATTAGGTTTTATTCTATTTGTTTTTAGAATAAATCTTCTGGTTTGAATACCAAATATACTAAAGAGTTTACTAACAGAAAAGTTTGACTTTAGTATAAACTATTTTAAGTTATATACTTGCAACTTGTAGACTTTGTTAACAAACCTGCTTTATATAAGATCAGAAAAAACATCACTTGAGTTCTTAAGTTTTCAACTTGCTTTTGGTATAATTTGATTCAAGCAATCATCAAAAAGTGTAATTTTTTAAAATGTTAGTACTAACTATTTTTAAAAGACTTATTTATATAATACTTTATATAATGAAATTTCTATAATATTATTAAACAATTAATACCTTCTTTTAGCAAAATTAATCTTTTTTCAAAATTTTCTAATCTATTCTTATACTTCATCTTAAGATTTTTTATAAAGCTTTGCATCTGATTTGACTTTTATTTTAAATTAGAGTTTAAAGTTCTTAGATTTTACTTTCAATCTAACTTAAACTATTGATCTTGTTTATAAAAATCAACAACTTAACCATTAAACTATAGAACCCAAATAAACTTAAAACAAAACCTTTAAATAAACAATAACTAAAGTTATATATATAACTAGCTACATTCTTACTTTCTTAATTTTAACAAATAAAATCAATATTGGCCAAATAATTAACTGTTTGTTTAAAAAAAAAGTAATAAATTTATCTAAAAACTTAAACCAATCTAAACGAAATCAAGTATTAAAACAAAATATTTTTACTAAACAAACTACTAAAATTTAAATTAAAAGAAAAAAAAATATATTAATAAAAATTATATTAAAGATAAATTATGATTTTTTAAATTAAAAAATTACAAAAAATACAAAATATACTATAAAATAAACACAAAGTTGAAATAAACTCCAAAAACAATAACAGTTTAATAATTAATTTTAACTGCAAGTATTGACCTTAACTATCATATATACTTTACAAAAACTAGCTAACAATTTTCAATTATCTGAAGATAGTTTTAAACATTTCTAAGATACCTATATTAGATATTAACGACTTTTTTCTTATCCCGGGTATCATACCCAATAATATTTCTCGTAATTTATAATTCTTAAAATAACATTTTTGTAGTTATTTTTATTGTCCGGAGGACATTACTATAGAGGCATAGAGTACCCAATGTCTGTGTGTCCGCAAATTATAGCTTTTGATTAGCTATTACATTTTCCTAATATAGGTTCAAAGCTTTCGCCAACGGTAAAAGAATCTATTTCCAAACTTTGACATTTTGATAGGCTGATATATTTTAAATTCGCATATCATGAGGCATTTGCAATCGATCAATATTTTATTAATTACGAAATTTCGATGATAGTACTTGCTAGTATGTTACCAAGCTTTATAAAAAATTAATATAGTATTCTCAATCTTCTCGTGATTATTCGTTTGTTGTACATACCTTAGAACACCAGCATATCAATAATAATTTCGTCACGATAAAAATAAGCGAATAAATAGCCAATTTTGGATGAACATAAAGTCAATGAGCGTTGAACTTTCCAATATATATAGTAGATTATTCACGCGTGCTGTCGGATAAAATAGCTTGGTCAAACTAATTATATATTTCTACATGGACTATAACACCAATGAAAACAAATAGTGCAAGATATACTATAACTTATTCAAATGCTAACCTGAATAGTAATATCGGATGCTTGGAAAAGTTCCGTGCTTAGCAAATTGACAAAAAAAAGGTTGTCAACTGGTAGACCAATAATAAAATTGAAGGATAATGGAAATAATAATGATGACAAAAAAAAAAAAGCAAGCTACCACCTTTATTACAAACTGAAAATATCTTCGAGAATTTTGTGACATCTCGTCTAATCAATATAAATAATAGTGCAGGAATAAAAGGAATAAAGCCAATAACAACTAAAACACGAAACCCACATACATAATTCCTTCCATTAAACAACCGAATACTTGCCATATCCACCCAAAGATGTACTTCCGGGATTCCGTGCCTCTGCTTCTATAGCACTTAATGTTGTCTCGGTCAATATTCTTTTTATTTCATTCTTGGCTTTTTCAACAACGTATTCGTTTTCACCTTCAACAAATAAATAGAGTTTTCTTTCGCCAGACCCGGGTGCAGGCTGGCGACCAGGTGGAAAGTAGGTGCCACGCGTCGTGATAGCGGCTCCTGTGAGTTCGGTAATTTGAGAAATTTGCTCCTGAGGAAATATAAATGAAATTATCGTTTATTTTGTCCTATTCAAATATACGAAGCCCAGAGGGGATTGTACGACACAAATACCTTATTAGTAACCTTCCACCTTGCTTTTTGTGGGTAATCATTGATTTCTATTTCAACAGAATATTCGGCAGCATTTTCGGCTTTATCTGCTTCGGCAACAGTGCCTTGTACAGAATTTTCTTTAAAACGAGCATTAATATCTGCGATTATATCTTTTGCTCTTTGGACACCGCTTGCACCGACGTTCTTTGCGTTTACACGAGCAGCAGCTTCTTGAGCAGCTCTAAGAGCTAAGTTCCAGAAAATTACGATTAATTGAGCATAATATGTGCGTGTAATAAAAAAGGTTTAACATGAGCTTACCGGCAAGCGCAGCTGGATCAGTAGAATGACCATTCGCAGAAGTGGGAAGCGCAGCCATTGCACTCTTTGAAGGAATTATAGCAGAACCAACACTAATTTCTTCCTTCTTTGATTGCTGTATTAGATGTTCTTCTTCCTCCTCTGCCTCCTCTTCGGAAGATGTGTCGCCGTCACCGTATGTCTGTAAAGTTATCCAAAATTCAATGACCAATCAACTCATACATCATGCATGTTATATCATACCTTTCTTTGGGCTTTTTTGACCAGATCACGAGCTTCGTCCAATCTCTCGAGACCTTTACCTCCAAAACCGGAACCAGAATACGTGGCACTGCCTGATTTGACTTTTTCTTGGAAACCTAAAGACAATAGATTGTTAATATAAATTTAATGTTTATACAGTCAGACCTTCCTAAGCAACCGGCAGGTGATTAAAAAAAAGAGGGACAAAATTTGCATTCAGAAGTATTACATTATGTGAGGTAAAACATGGGAGTTTAAGGCTAAACAAGAGTTGAGCTTGGATTGGTGAAAATTAATTATAGTGCTTAGAAAGGTTGCATTTAGGAAAGCCTATAGTGAATAATAATAATTTTTATTACCATCAGCAAGCTGCTGCAATTCGGGGCTCACATGTCCTCCACTTAATTTCAACGCTTTAACGATATCCATCGCATACCGATCTTGCTCAGGGGTAATAAATGTATACGCAGTACCTTTATTACCTGCCCTTCCTGTTCGGCCAACACGATGTACATAATCTTCCATGTGGTTTGGACATTCAAAGTTGATAACAAGCTTTAATTGCTTAACGTCTAAGCCACGCGCGGCGACAGATGTGGCAATTAACAGCTGACATACCCCAGACTTGAAGTCTGCAATAGTACTATCTCGATCTAGTTGGTCCTTGAATTAACAAAACAATTCTATCGTCAACAATTAATGTTCATATCTAAAATTCACAATTAGTAATAAAATAACTACTTTTCCACCATGCAGTGACATGCATGGGTAACCTTTGCGAATTAGGTCACGTAAAAGATTGTCTGCTGCTTCTTGACGATCAACAAAGATTAAAGTTCGGGCATCTGGGTCATCATTATATTGTTGTCCCAATATCTCAAGTAAACGAACGAATTTAGTATTATCCTCGCGTACTTCAACTATTTGATTTACATCTTGGGCAACGACAGAGCGTCCACCAACTGTAATTTCAAGTGGCTTTTTAAGAACTTTACGAGCCAAAGATTCCATCTATTAATAAAAAAATTCAGATAAATTTCTTACATATATTAACAAGCGATTTAGTATATATGTCAAAATTTTTATACTTGACGAGGAAATGTTGCAGAAAACAACACTGTCTGACGATCAGGCCTGACATTATTGACAATTTTCATGACCTACGAACAATTGAATTTGCAATAGTGAGAATAATAATGATTAATTTCACACAAATATTAGAGTATTATGGTAATGACCTGAGGCTCAAATCCCATATCAAACATCCGATCTGCTTCATCCAATACCAGATAAGTAACACGCTTCAAGTTAGTGACTCGTCCCGAATTTGCGCACAAAAGGTCAATCATGCGCCCTGGAGTGCAAACAATAATTTCAGCACCACGTTTAAGTTCGGCAATTTGATCTTTAATTGGTGAACCTCCATAAGCGCATACAGCCTAATCAAGGGTAAGTATAGTCATATTAACAAAACAATGGAATAAATTAAGTTATTCTAGTAATTAACTGCAATGATATACAATACTCGAAGATTTAATCCTTTTAAAAAGTGTTTGCATTCTTTATGTATTTGCACTGCCAATTCTCTTGTGGGTGTCATGATTATGGCTATAGGCCCTTCCATTTGCTCAAGTGGACGTTGATCCTTGATATGTCGAAACATTGGAAGAAGAAAAGCTATTGTTTTACCGCTTCCTGTTTTGGCAACACCTATAACATCGCGACCAGCCATAATAGCAGGGATGGCCTGAGATTGGATTGGCGTTGGCTTCTCGAAATTTAACCTTCTTATTACATGCAAACTAACAATTCGACCATAGAATGATAACGTTAATAGAATCCAGAACCTATCGCAAAGCGTATACTATGATGATTGGTTACCATGCAGCAGGTAATCCAGCGTGAGTCCATTTTTGAATTGGTTTCGGGCAATCAACTCCCTGCAAAAAGATTATAATAAATATATGAAAAAAAAGAAGCATTTGAAATAAAGTGAATCCGAATTCATACCCGAATTTTGATACCTCCTAATTCAACCCTAATAAGATCAACTTGATCAGGTGTTAGGTCGTGCATTTCTGGAGGTTCAATGTAGAAGTCCTTGCGGAAAGGTTCATACTTGACTTGTGTATGATCTACTGCAGCTAGGTCTTTTTTCTTGAGTTTTTTAGCTGCCAAACTATTGAAAAAAATTTTTTAATAATTCAAATTGCAGATTAGATCAATTGCTGAAATGTATTTACGCTAGGATGTCTTCAGGGTCACTTCCAAATTCCTCTTCTGCATAATCTTCCTCTTGAACATTTTCCAGTTTTTCAAGCTTGCTCCTTCCTTTTGCCGCCTGTTTAGCACGTTTTTTGTCTTGCTCATTCAAATATTCCACTTCGACTTCAACATCTTTCATAAAAGCATCCAACGGATCTTCTTCATCTACGTTATTTGTTTGCATTGATTGGTTGCCAGAGTCCGTCGAGGTTTGGGCTTTCGTGGACGTTGAATGTTTTTCCTCATCTTCACCAGGCCCTGCTTTAGCTTTTCCTTTAACACTTGTAGTTTTCTTACTTCCAAGTCCAAGCAGAGGATTTCTTCTAACTGGAAATAATGATGAATCAGTTTTATCTACTGGTTTTGGTATTGGCATCAAATCCACAGTATCTACGACAGAACAAAGGTAAGTTTTATAATAATTAAATGGTAATTTTATAAAAGACAGAATGCGCTTATTCACCTGGAGCACCATCTACTTCCATTGCTTCATCTTCTTCTTCATCATCTAAAGTCCAACCTTTGTTTTGATTTTGTTGCATTTCTTCCTCATTAACAGATGATAATTGACTAGTATCTGCAGCCATCTTTATTTTAGCTGCTTCCTCAGCCATTTTCACAGCCTCCCTTTCTCTTCGCCATTGCTCAACTCGTTCTCTTCTTTGCCGAATTTTTTCTTCTTGATCGAGTAGGGCTGCCACTGTCGCAGACGTAGTCGAATCAACTGGCTGTATATTGGAAACCAAATATTCGATAAATACCGCAAACTGTGAAACTGTATATAATTTACTTGTTTACCTTTTGATTTGTAGCATGCATTTGTGTGTCTGAATCTCCATTAGTACCTTCCCCAGTCGCGTTATTTCGAGGTTCTTCAGATAAAGCCCCGGGTAAAATAGCGCCTGAAGATCTCGCGATAATTTTAGATTCTTGTGAAATCGTGCTGTCCGCTGAGCTAACAGCTCGCGTTTTTTTTTCTTCATTCTCTTTTGAATTTTGTACCCTCAGCTGTACATCCTCCTTTTCAATTTCACTTTTCGAGTGCCGGGAGCGTTTGTGTTCTCTATCGTCTTTATGGCGATCTTTGTCACGCCCGCTGCGTCTATCTCTACTTCGACTTCGATCCTTGGATTTTTCACTTGTAACGTCCTTAGCACGCTCCCGACTCCGAGTTCTTTCATGTCTATGTGAATGCTTTTTTCTTTTATGTGGGGAACGGGACCGACTTCTAGAACGGGAATGTCGTGGCATCTTATAATCCAATGAGAGAAATTGCACAACCTGGACTCGAAGTGGTTTATCGTTATGACATTAACAATTAGTCAGGTGACTATTATTAAGCATGTATAGCTATATGTCATAGGAAAGAAGTTCGTCTAATTGGCTAATTGGTTTATTTTATTTGAACTGGTACAATAGCCAACAAAAGTAACGCCCGATTTTTGATCAAAAAATAAAATTTTTATTTATTTAATTTTGACCGCAAATACATCAAATTTTTTTTTTATATTTATTTAATATTTCACTGAGTGACCTCCTACACTTGTGATAGCGTCGATTCTTCGTGTCATTGAGTCTGCAACGACACGAAGAACCGACGTATCCAAATTTAACCATGCTTCCTGTAAGGTCGTTTTAAGGTCAGATTTATTCCTTGGGAAGTCATCACGGTTCTGAATATTGTCCTTCACGATCTTCCAAATATTTTCTATGGGGTTAAGGTCAGAGGATTGTGAGGACCAATTCATATAATCAATGTTTTTTGAATTTAGTCAATCTGACATCTTATGAATTGAAGCATTGTCATGCTGAAAAATCAAATGGGGGATGTTTAACAAATAGATTATAACTAAAAACAGTATAAGATGGTTGTTTAACACCTTGGTATAAATGTTTTTATTAATTTTTTGCTTGGGACCTTTGTAATCATCAAAAAATACTATGGGATCTTTGATGTTATTAATAAAACATGATCAAACCATTATCAAGACCCTTCTATTTCTAAAATTTGATTACAATCACTCATGTTTGTATTTTTTATCCACATAATATCATATATAAATTTGGTGGAATTGTTTACTTATTTTTTTTTTCTTTTTTAAACATGAAATGATGTATTTTATTTAGTATACTAAAAATATATTATTAACAAACTATTTAGTTAATTTATTTATATTTTTTTAGTTTTAAGAACTTGATCATTTTGATTTTCACCTTACTTTTAGAAGTATTATATAAAATTTTTAAAATTTTTTGAATTTTTGTTTTTGAAATATTCTTTATAGTTTTTTCTAATATAATATTATTTTCCCATCTGGCTTGAATATATCATAGCCAGATTTCATATATTATTGTAATATGAAGTCATAGTGTTGCTTTTCTTTTTTCTTGGTTTTTTATATTTGATACTGTTAGTTTTTCTTCTAAAGATTGTGAACACTTTTCTCCTGCTTCAGTTTGTAGAATGTTGTAACTTTCTTTCCAAAATGCTTGGCTTATTTCACAATTCACAACAAAGTGACTCAGGGTTTGTTTTTTATCTACACAATTTAGACAGTTTCCATTTATTTCTTTATTAAAGTGTATAAGATGATATCCCAATGGCAATGCATTATTTTGGAGTTTTCAAAAGATATCCTTCTTCTTGTTAAGCATGTCTTTGCACTAAAACCAACTAGAAGATTTTTTAGCATCATCTTATAGACTTGGTAATGCTTATGAAATAGTAGGTTTTATTGAACATTGTTTGAGGAATTCAGTAGCTCTTTGTACTGTAAACTGGTTTTCTATACTTTCTCTAACTTTTAGCTGTATAATATTCCATGACCAATTGATGGTTGCTAAAATAGTTCCTTTAAGTCTTTTTCATGTTGTTAGGTATAGCTTCTAGTAATCTAGTTACTTCTTAAGCTTTATTGATATTTTAGTAAGAGCCGCTAATACAGTAAGATTTTTTTTAGTCTGAAGGTTTTGTAAAATTAATGTTCTTTCGATATTAGCCTATAAGCTGTTTGTTGAAATTAACTTAACCCAAATTGAACCAAGCCTAGAGTCTAATATGTCTTTAAGTACAGGAGTATCTAGTTCTTCTCTGTCATAATCTAACTGAAATGTTGAGTATTTCAGAGCAGTCTAAACTTGTTTTTAATTTAGCCTGAGACTAGTGTATTAATTTTGTCTAACTGTTTTCTGCTAGTTGGTAATAAATATATCATATACCATATTTTAGAGATAAGTAGTGATTTGGACAAAAGGATCTTTCTTTTGAAAGACAGATTTTTGGTTAAGATTTTTTCTATTTTGGTTTTAATATTTTAAGTTATTGTATTCTAGACTTGTTTTTGCAGATCTCCTCTAATATTGACTTCAAATTCTAGAATTCTTAACTGGCTGCTTTTATTTGCAGTTTTGAAAAGGTCTTGGTTCAGAAGACTAATTTTTTTAGTTTCTGATATTATTAGGACAAGACTAAACTTTTGGAAGTTGATTTTAGTAATAGCTGTTACTTCGAATTTTTGGAGAATTACTAATAACTTTTTCCAATCCTGTTGAGAACTAATTTCTATTATCAAGTCATCAGCATATGCTGCTAATGTTTGAAAATTTGTATGCCCTTTAGTTCTTCTTGAATTTTTAGAATTAGAGAGTTTAAGGCCATAATATATAAAAGAGGTGAAAGAGAGTCCCCTTGTCATATTCTACTCTCTACTTTTATTGACTCTGATCTATAGTCTGCATCTGAGATGTGAGCTGTCTGTGAATCAAGAATAGATCTGATAATTCTTGTAAACTTGTAATCAAAACTCATGCTATCTAACACTTGCACTATAAATTCATAACTGATTCTGTCAAATGCCTTTTGCTGATCTAGCAGCAGTAGTCAATGTGGGAGAGTCTGGTTATTTTAGTTTTTCATTGTCATAATAATGTCTAGTGCTGTATCAATAATTGATCTTCTTTTTATAAAAGCTTGCTGTGCTAGACCAATCATTTCTTTACAGATAAGATTAACTCTGTTAGCTAGGACCTTCATAAATATTTTGTTGTTACAGTTTGTAAATGAGATTAGTCTCTAGTTGTTAAGATTAGAGAGATTATCTGATTTTTTAGGTATTAACATAATAATACTTTTAGTCCAAGACCTTGGTACTGTGCCTGAATTCAGGCAGTAGTTGAACAATTTGACTATTATTGGGAGGATTTCATCTTTAATTTCTTTGTAAAATTCATAATTAAGACCATCCAACCTTGGTGCTTTGTTGTTTGAAAGCTGGTTAATTATAGCATTAACTTCCTCTTCTAAGATGTCTTTAGTTAGGACCTGGTTATGTGACATTGTTACTGATGATAGGTTTTGTGTAAAGAAATTCATTGCATTTTTGTTTACTTCTTTTGCTTTGTATATATCTTAATAAACTTTTTTTATGTAATGCTGAACATCTGAGAGGCCTTGGGCTTGGTTACTATTAGGAATTTGAACTTTGTCTTTAACTGATATGCTATTTCTAATTTTGTAAAATGAATAGAAAAACCTAGTAGATTTTTCTCCTTCCTCTATCCATTTGGTGTTTGACTTAGTTTGCTATTTGTTCGACAGATCTTGAATTTCATCTTGTAGTTGAGTGTTAATACTATCACAAGCTGCAAGTAGCTCTGCTGACCTTTTTTCTTTAGCAATTTCATTGTTGATTTTAGTTAGTTTTCTTTAAAGTCTTTGAATTTTCTTTTCTGGTGATAGTTGAGGTCTGAATGCTCTTGCGATTGACTATATTTTGCATTTATATAAATCCTATTTGGAAAAGTCAACAATGTTTTGAGCTTTTTCAATTATTTTTGCTCTGAGTAATAGGTTGTTCTAACTGTTTTTGTCAAATCTCTACTGTTTGGTCTTAATAGAAGTAGATGCTAAATGGAGCTTGCATTCTACTAGCAGATGATTTAAGTTTCCAAATTGAGTTGTAACATATTTGCAGTATTGATCATAATTAGTATTGATAAAGATATAATCAAATCTTGTAGCTATTTTGTGACCACTTCTTGTGTTTTAGTAGTAGATAACAAAGAATTCTTTTCTTTGTATTAGGCTTGCTGTATCTATAAGTTCTGTAGTAAGAATTTTAAGCATTTTTTTTATAGGATCACTAGTAAAAGATGAGCAGCTAATTCTGTTAATTTGAGAATCAAGATTTGTATTAAAATCTCCTGCTAAAATATTTATAAAATTTTCATCTATTTGAGGAGCCCAGTTGTTGAAGAAATTAGTTCTATCTTCAATATTTGGAGGTGCATAAACATTGATAACCTTGAATAGCTGTTGTTTATAAACTAGTTCTGTAGTAATAACTTGTTCATTATGTAAGTTCTTAATGTTCGTAAGTGTAATATTCTTGTTACCTGCTAGTATTGCAGTTTTCGATGTCCAATATGAGCAATGACTTCATTGTTGTTGCAAAAATTTTCTAGTATTTGGATTTTCTAAATTTGTTTCTTGGAGCATTATTATATTTAAGTGATAGAATTTTAGTAAAGTTAAAGTTCTGTATGCTTTGTCCATATTATTTAAACCTTTGACATTTAGTGTTGCAATTTTGATTTTTTTAACCATGATAAATGGGTTGATAGTATAGATGAAGAATAGCTTAGTAAGGGTTCCTTCTGACCCTTAGGTTATTTTTGGGTCTGTTATTATTGTCTTGTGAGTTTATAAATTTTGAATGACTCTTGAATTTTTTCTTTGAAGAGACCAAAGTAAAGCTGTCTCTGTCTTTGAATGCTTGATTCAAATTATTGTTATATGAGATCACCAGGGGGTCTGATAATGAATTCAGATTGGAAATAGGGTTATCTCTTTTTACAGAAACAATTCTCAGCTCTTGTATTTTATTTAGTTAATTTTGGTTCTGTGCTTCTACTGTTTCAACCTATAACAGTTCTGATTTGATTTCTTCTTCTATTTTTAAATCAGTTGGACTAATGTTCTCTTTAAGTTCATCTATACTCATGTTGCATTCATCTTTTGGATTGTATGAATTCTCTGGGCTTAATATCAGAGACTCTTTTTTTTGTTAAAGCAGTTGTTTCTTTTCTTGCTTTTTTTGCATTTTGTGATTCTTATAAAGGTTTCTGATTTTTACTAATGTTTTATATTCTAAACATTCCTTTTTGATATATCTTGTTTTATCACAAAAGTAGCAGAGTTTTGGAGCTTCTCTCCAGTCTGTTGTTATTTTGTGGTTCCAAACATATGTAAA